CTTAATAACAAAATAAAAAAATGTTTGGACACTGATAATGAGCCAAGCACTAGGCCAGGTACAGGTGACAGAATGGTGAACAGGAAAGACGAGGCCCCTGTTTTCACAGGCCTCAAGAGTTTGTGAGAGAAGAGAGGCACTGCATAAATAATAAGATAACACTGATGAACTTTATGCTGATGGAAATACAGAGTATTATGGGAGCATATGCTAGAAGCAGATATAGAGTATGGTCTGGGACTTCCTCGAGGAAGTAACATTTAAGCAATGGGTCATGTTAATGGTTTGGTGCCCCAAACCAGGGAAACAAATTTGCTTAAGGCAGGTTGTATATGAGAAGTATGAATCATAGCACCTGCTCACCAATCACTCCTTTTAAAGAAGCTACACTGCTTATAGACCTGTTTCAGGGACAGCAGTTAGGGGTCATCTTTTGTTTCACATTACCCTACACCTCCTATCCCCAGCTGTTGAAACTGGGAAGGGATGCTGAACTAAGTACAGCCTATTCAGAGGGTCATAATCTATCGGAGGCGGGGCGGCAATCTTTTGGCTTCCCTGCACTACACTGGAAGAAGAAGAATTGTCTTGGGCCACACATAAAATACACTAACACCAATGATAGCCGATGATCTAAAAAAAAAAGAAAAAAAATATGAAAAAATCTTGTAATATTTTTAAAAAGTTTAACAATTTGTGTTGGACCACATTCAAAGCCATCCTGGGCTGCAGGTTGGACCAGCTTGGTCTAGAGGAAAAAGACAAAAAAAAAATAATTTTTCTAAAAATGTAAATGTATGATACCAAGAGACCGGTGGATGATTGTGGCTGAAAAATCAGGAAGTCAAGTTAGACTAGAGGGACCTGAAGGCCATGCATTTGCCAAAGTTCTGAGTGGGCAGAAAGAGTAAGTAAGGGGAAGAAGCTGGTTAGCAGGCAACCAACAAGGAATCAAAGAGATAAACAGAGACCACTCTAGAGAAATACCATGTATCTCATGAAAGCTAAGTTGCAAGAGTAGCAGTTTTGTACAGTAATGGCAATTTTCAATAACTTTCTAATCATAAGATGATGAGTACTCTCACAATACCCCAGACCAGATTCATTTCACATTAGAGCAACATTATGAAGTCTAATTGGCTTATGTTAAGATTTCAGCATGAAGTCTAGTTCTTACATATTTTCTGTAAGTATCTTCTTAAGGAGACAAACTATAAATGCACTCCAAATATTAAGGGTTGGGTTAGCTGGGTAGGTCTCTGTTCCTTGTAGACGAAAGGGTTCAATGAAAACAGGTCATCCCGTATTAGATAAAAGTAAACTAAAAAGGAGATACTGTATCGAGTTCAGCTACCAGGGTAAATAAATTATTACATATAAAAACAAATCTGTTTGCTACTTTTAAATGCCTTTAATTGTCATAATTATGGCATGCCTATCTCAACACAGATGCATTAAGATATATTCTTAGGAAAATTGCCACAACTGTTGATACTTACAGTTAAATGTCATGTTTGTATGCTATGTACCAAACACATACACATAAAATATATTTATACACACCTACACACCTAACTGTCTTTAGTAAGACATTGGTTAACCAATGTACAAACAGAATTATATGTTTTTCTCACAATTTTTCATGTGTGCCAGGAGCACTGACAGGACAACCCCATTACATTACTGTCCCTCCCTACCTCCAATTCTGTAGTGATGGTCACTGGGTAGATGGTACATGGAGTTAAGCAAGGCTGCTTTTTTATAACTCCATCTTTTGAGTTTTACTCCATTGTCTTCGACCAGCTTGTGTTGCTACAACAAAATACCTGAGACTGAGTAATTTGAAAAAAACAGAAATTATTTCTCACAGTTTTGAAAGCTGGAAAATTCAAAATCAACGTGCTGGCAGGTTTGGTTGCTTGATGAGTGCTGCATCCTCCAAAGGGGAGGAACTCTGTGTCTTCATGTAGCAAAAAGCAGACAAGGGGAACAAACTCTCTCCATCAAGCCCTTTTATAAACGGAACCTAATTGTATTGACTAGAACCCCACCCTCATAACTCAGTCATCCAACAAAAGCTGCACCTCTCAATACCATTACATTGGCAACACCTAAATTTTAGAGGGGACATATTCAAATCACAGCACTAACTCTCTTAGTCTGTCAGCCAATCCCTTCTATTTTCCTCCAGTCCCTCTCCTGGTTGAAACCAAACTATACAAACTGCAGTCAATCAAGTGATAAAACGATTCGCTTACCTGTGCCAAGCTATTACAGGTTACAAATATAAACTTTTCTATACAGTTAATATTTGGGATAAAAGGTAAGATAAGTGAGCTCACCTCTCTTAGATAGAGAGCATTCCCCTTCCCCTGAAGGAAAGCTAAAAGTTTCCTCCTGTATTTTTCTTTTTCATTTGGGCTGAACTTGGTAAATTATTTCAGCCTAGGAGGAGTAGAGTAGGGAAATTATGAGGACATGAAGAAAGAAGCTATATCAACTGATCAGGTGAGATAGATGGGTAGGCTGAATACACACACACCCATCTCTCCCTTATATCACATGGAATAGAAAAAAAAGGCTATTGGGTAGACTGCACAGGGAAAGACTTTTCTAAGGGCATGTATGACAATGGAATGGGATTGGCCCCATTTCAGATCTCAGCGGGGCTTCAGTGGTGAGAGGCACAGCAGAAAGCAAAAGAAGGAAGATCATCCTACTGTTCAGGTCTTGGTGATAATTAGCTGAAAGTAATTTCCATATAGTTAATTACAATTATAAGTATACTCTAAATAAATAGTGTGTTGTTTCCCTAAGGGAATATCAGAGGTTACAATGAAATATTATACCTTTTCGGTATAAAAAGGAGGAAATTTATACCTTTTTGGTACTAAAAGTGACGAAATTTATTTTTAGAAAGAAATAAAGGTAGCATTTTATAATACTAACTGCATAATTTAAAACTCATTTAATTTTATTATAAAAAGAGGAAAGCATTCTGAAGGGGTCATGTATCAATAGTGTTCTGATAGTAAGGTAGGCCTTACAAAATATACCCCCTTAATTATAGCATGCCTATATATATATAATTATAGCATGCACATATATATATATATATATTTTTTTTTTAGCAGTAGGGTCTTGTTCTGTCACCCAGGCTGGGGGGCAGTGGTATGATCCTAGCTCACTGCAGCCTCAAACTCCTAAATTGAAAGGATTCTCCCACCTCAGCTTCCCCAGTAGCTAGGACTACTAGTACTAGAAGAAAGAGGAGATAGACCAAAGACAGAAACATTGATGGTAGAAACATACAGATGTCAGATCTAACATCAAGAAAACCCAAACCAATTTTTATTATTTAGAATGTGGGCTGATAAAACAAACAGGGGTCAGGTACACGGCGTTCTGTTACTATAGATGCATTTTCTGTGTTAGAGTTTATTTAACACAGACCACTGCAAATAAATAATGATAAGACATCATAGCGTGTCTGATAATCTGTGACAACAATTCTAACGCTGTCATTGTGGCCACTGGAGAAACCTGCACGTACTGAGCCCTGACCTACGGAGCTTTTTATCTGCATGTGTACTCTCCACAGGCCAAGCAAATAAAGGCCAAATGATAATTTACACATGAATCAACTTTCTCTGCTGCATAGGCACCAGAGACGTTTCTTTTCTCTGTTATTGAGAGAAAGGCAGCCAGGTCTAAGCTTGTCTCACTAGAAATCATACAAGTGAAACAGTGATTTGCAGGAAAATGGCAGATCAGCAAAGGGAAGCTGTTCTGAATGCCTGATAAAAATGGCAGCCACAAAGGACTAGATGAATATTTAGTTTGAAAACAGGCCTGACAGTAACAATGAGTCTTTATCCTATTCAAAACAGGTAGTGTCATACAAACTGAAACGGAGATACAATCCTGATAGAAGATTGCACAAGATACCAGGGTAGGTGTCTTTAAAGACTTCAACCTTCATTTCAATAAATGTAGACTCATGGATCCTTTCATCTATATCTTATTCAGAGTACACACAGTTATTTCACATGAATGACATATGGAAGGTTTATTGCCCACTTTGAAACGAGAAATAAATCGGCCAGGATGATTTTTTTTATAAAAGGCTTGTTCATGAAAAACTAGGTACACATTTTATACCATGGAACTTGTGAAGAAAAAAATATGTGTTTAATACTCCTCCATCCAGACCCCCTTGGCACTTAGGTCAACTTTTATAAGTTCTTCCAAGGATCAAAATATTGCTATAACCTTTTTTAAAATAGAAACTTGCAATGTTCAATACCTGTCCTGACCCATTTAACAAAGAAAAGGAGATTTATTATTAAATTTGTGTTAACAGACCATTCCAAAGGTAATTATTGTAATGTTCTAACTAATGACAGTACTAACCAAATCAATAAAATTATTTTTATTACTTTCCCATTTCCATAGTTTTGTGCAAGTCATGTTCTATCTGCTCCCTGGAATACCCACCTGCCTACTTAATGCACATTCTGGATTCCTTTAAGTTTGGCTCAAGTCTCACTGTTCAGGAAGCTTTCCCTTAAAGCTCCAGTTTTGGTGTGGTAGATGCTGCTAACCATGTACACGAACTCTCAACACATAACAACAGACCAAATTCCAAAATCATAAAAACAAGTTTTATTCATGAGTTGTAAACATAAGAGATGTGGCATAATTTGTGGTTCATAAAATTAAAAAAAAAATTTATTCCTTTGGAGTCCAGAAATGAATCTGTAAACTTCAGATCACAATCTATACTCTGAGAAAATGCCAAAAATAATAAAAGTTGTAGGATTTAGGTCTTATCAGTTCTTGGTTATGAGGTGCATACATCAAAAATTCTCTCAGTGACAAGTTTCTAAATATTCCTTAATTATTCCTCTCTGCCTTTATGAGGCTTTTCTTAACCATTCCAATTGCTTCCCTTACCTTTCTTCTTACATCATTCTCCTTTAGGCTGAAACCTTCTTGTACCCTATCTTTCTTCTAAATTATGGTATTCATTTCCCCACCTCTGGCTGTTTAGTAGTTGTAGAAGTCAACATTTGCATTTTCCTTAAACTGTAAGCTCCTAATGGGTATTAATCATACCTTCTATTTCTACATATCTACAACCTCTTAAAGTGCCTAAAATAGTGTTAGCTATTCAGAGTATCCTTGATAGATGCCCACTGTTGAAAATTCTTTTTTTTGTTTGGTGTTGGGGGACAGAGTCTTTCTCTGTTGCCAGGCTGGAGTGCAAAAGTGTGATCATAGTTCACTGCAGCCTTGAACTCCTGGGTGCAAGTGATGCCCCCAACTCAGCGTCCTGAATAGCTGGGACTACAGGCGTGTGCCACCATGCCCAGCTTGCTTATTTATTTATTTATTTTTGTAGAGACAGGGTTTTGCTATGTTTTCCACGCTGGTCTTGAACTCTTGGCCTCAAGCAATCCTCCTGGTATGGGGATTACATGCATGAGACAACATTTTCAACCTGAAAATGATTAAAAATGCATTTTTAAAGGCAAGCCATATTTAGCTAGTGATATTCATTAGTTTTCTGAGCCAATTTATAGGTAAATTTGTATCACAGCTCTTGCATACTAAAAGGTGAATTTTACTGCCAACAGACAAGATAATCTCAATGTCACTGTTAATGACTTCAAAGAGGTAAAGTTTGGGTGTGAAAGAGGAGTAAGGAATGACTCAATTAGAATGTTCATGGTGCTACACTTAATTTTGTAAAATCAAACCTCAAGCACTAAATTTCTTTTTCTACTAATTTTTTTCGTTTGGTAAGAAAAAGTTACTCTAATTGGAAAGCAATATAAAAATATGTTGTTAAAGCTTTTAAAAATTATTATTATTTTTTGAGAGAGTATCTCACTCTCACACAGGCTACAATACAGTGGCATGATCTTGGCTCACTGCAACCTCTGCCTCCTGGATTCAAGCGATTCTCATGCCTCAGTCTCCTGAGTAGCTGGGACTACAGGTGTGCACCACCATGCCTGGCTAGTTTTTATATTTTTAGTAGAGTCGGGGTTTTGCCATGTTGGCCAGGTTGGTCTTGAACTTCAAGCAATCTTCCCGCCTCGGCCTCCCAAAGTGCCAGGATAGGCGTGAGCCACCATTACTGGCTTGTTGAAGCTATTTAATTAGTAAGGCAAAAATGACTATGGTCTTTAAAAGCAAGGCAGGTGGCAGTCCACATACATAAGAGTAACCAAAGAATGGGGATAGGACCTTGGCTGACAGAGTTTTTAAAAAGCAACATGAGGACAAAGAAATTAGAAGCTTTCCAAATTGCCAAAGAGGCAGACAAAGAAGAAAATGCTAATTTTAGTCCACTTAATTCCATGCATTTAAGATGGTATTTAAATTTTTTGAGTTTTAGGAACAGTGGATAGAATGAGTACATGAATCTAGAATATTCCTCTTCACTATGTATTTTGTTCTTCATCACTGTACATTGATAAAAGCTATTCTTATCAAAGTCTTCTCTCTCTTCTTCTTATCATTCATCCAGTCCCCTCCTTATTGATCATCAGACCATGAAAGAGACAATGGATAGCGCTACCAGAATCAATACATAATGGAGACATTGCATCTACTCAATCTACTAGGTCTGTTGATCTGCCATGGGGAAAACTGGATTGGCCTATAATTTTGTTCACAAGAGCAAGCTGATAATTACACAGAAATCTGTGATCCCCAAATGTTTGAACAGTGATTTTGAAACTTTCTAAAGTACTTTCTAAAGTATCTAAAATAAGTTGATGGAACTGTAACTTTAAAAGTCATCCTAATTTGCATGTTTGAAGTGAAATACCACATTTGTCCCTTCCTAATTCTAGTTGTTCTTACCACTTCTGTATTCCCCACACATACAAAAGTGAAAATAAAAACCAGTCTGCCAAAGAATACAGCTTTGCTCCTTGGAGTTGTGAGCAAATGAACAAATTACCAAGCGCACATAAACAAAGTACCTTTTAAAAAGGTAACAAAACTCAACAATTAAGGATATGGTTTTCAGACAAATGTATCATTACACTGAAATGGTAAGGCTACTGCCTAGGAAGTGGACTGAACTAGTTAGTATTTGGGGACATGTCTTCTTCATACCTGATTGACAAGACAAGTTATGAGAGGTACTGTTTTCAGGTTTGAATGGGGCTAACTAGAGAAACCTATTTGCAAAGGGTTACTCAGCCATTAAAAAAAGGATAAAACAGAGTACTTACATTTGTAAGGCAGCATTAACATTGTGGATTATCAATGTTATTAAAATTCTTTAATAGAGAATCAAAGGAAGGAGAACTTGTTTTTCAAATTATGTGCTTGCTGTCACGTTGGGGCTATGGAAAACCTTTCCCCGCTGCAGTGTGCAGAAGGCAAACTTCTGCATACTACGAATGAAATCTGCATTTGTCAGAAGTGGCTAATTTGGAGGGTTTACACAGCCCGTTAGTCAATGGTGAGTTTTATATCCTAATCATACACACTGTTGTTAGATCCTTATATTCTAGTCAAATAACTTCTGGGTCATGTTAGAAGCTTCACATGTTGGTAAAAAAGAAATTCTAAAGTTATGCACTTGCTATTTTTTCTTACTTACCCTGAAACTTCTCTCTGATCTCTAGACTATTTCCTTAAATAAAGGTTCTAACATAAAAAGAAAGCACGGTTAAATGCCAAAATTTTACTTCCAATTTTCCCTCCCAAACCTGTTCTTCTCCTAGACTTCCTCATCTTAGTAAATGACATTACCCAGATGTTCAAGCCAACAATGCAGGAGTCATTTTTCATCCTTCCGATTCCCTCACTTCCCATCTCTAAATGATTATGTTGGACACTTCTTCCCATCTCCAACTCCTGCCCCCAAAATCCAAGTCACCATAATTGCCTGCCTAAGCTATTGAGCGAGCTTCTTAAGTGGTCAGCTGCATATACACTTGTTCCCCCCACCAATCCACTTTTACTCTATAAAATAGATACGATCACTGTCCAACTCAAGACCCTCAGTGGTTTTCCATTGTACTTAGAAGAAAGTCAAAATTTGGACCCAAGGCTCTAAGGCCCTAAGCAATGCGACTTCTGCCTGGATTTCCTCCTTGTTCTACATGCTTCAGGCTTACTCACCTTCGTTTGTTCCTTAAACAGGAGCAGCCAGTCTGCCTAGAGTGAATCTATGATCTTCAAGGCTGAAGTAAATTCAGTAGCCTTTTTTTGAAGGTAAAGGAAATATACTCAGCCTAATTCAGGGCCACATACCATGTCTGTTATTTTCACTTAGAAATGCTTTCTATATCATTAAGTTTAGGAAAAAACCAGCATATTAAATTCCCACAAAATGAATATTCATTCACACAGGAACAATTAAAAGCACAATCTCATTCTTTAAATGTTGTTTTTAGTTATGCCTAATGAGTAATGAGACCTTACAAACACAGTATTTCTTGTACATTTCTGATTATGGAAAAATTATGAGTCTAGAAAGGGGCAGATTTTCTCAAAGACTATAGTCAGTCCTCTGTTTATGTATAAAAATGCAATGGGGATTATACACTTTACAATGCTGAAATGTTCCCAATTATTTTCATTTACAATTGTACTATTTAAAATAATTCTCTAATTATTTTTTCCTGCTAGAGTTTTTATAAAAGTATAAGAGGAAAGTGATTTTCTTGTAATAGATAGTCTGGCTCCTCACAGGAACATCCGGAATGCCACTATTTCAGGACTTTCATTGTGATATGCGAAATGCTGACACTGATTACACACTTGAAAATGATGAATTGTTTTCCTCATTAGTATGGGAAGCATTATAAACCCTTAAAACAAGATATTTTTCATATATTTTATTCAACAGGGTACTGGTAATTTCAAACCTTCCAGAATCTTGAAGAAGCCAAATTAGTCTAACAAAATAAATATACACGGGAATCATTTCCATTATACCAATTGTTATTGAGTAATAATTGTCAATAATGACTTTACCATCCATTTTATAATCAACTAAAAAGTACAAAATACAAAGAAGCAAGGTATAAAACCCAGCCTTATTTTTTTGGATATATGAAGTAAAGAATAAAGATAAAAGCCCAAATGTAAATAAGTCATTTTTAGATGATTACAGTGAACTAACATAGAATTACAATATTACTTGAATATTTGTCTTCAATGTCAAATAATAAGAGCTAAGTATTCACGTCCTTAAAGAACCTTTATGTATATTGAAATCATTTCCAATATTTGATTAACAAAATTAGGATTTGCAACTCTAATTGGGAATTGGAAATACCATCAGACTTCATGTTATTAAACAAATGGAGCAAAATTTGATTTACAGAAAAAGATTTTGGACATTTGATACTTATTTCTTTCCAGAATTTTTGAGATTACCTCTCAAATAATAACAAGCTCTTATACTAAAAAAAGAGGATCAAAGTTTAGAAAATATATCACTTTAATGTACTGACTCATTTTTAAGATTTTTATGATTGGTTGGTCACTGAAATAAATGATCATTAAGACTTAAATGTTAAAAGTGAGGAAAATAAAGTAGCTTGGAAAAGGATAAATGTAGAAGATAGTGTGAAGAAAAATAGATATACTGAAGCTCATTTATTTCAATGGAAAGAACTGTTAAGTATGTAAGTACGCTATAAGTATTGTCTAAGGAGATAGTAACTTTGAGGGATGACTGAGTGAGTTCTGCTTAAGATCAGTTTATTTTACTATTCCCTTACAAAGATGGGTCTAAGTCATATTGATAATTAGCTCCAAAATTTAAAGAAGAATTTTATTATATTGTTATCAATTATCAGTGTTTTAAACAACACAACATATTTACATATGAAAAGTCAAAGAATCCTAAGTCTTTTCCTAGATCTGTCTTGGGCATGACAATGTTCAATACTTTTAAAATGATGGGGACTGAGAACAATATCAACTAAAGGGTTAACCGTCTTTTCAGTAGTCTTAAAAAAGTAGTGATAGAA